TAACCCCATAGAAAATCTATGGGGTATTGTGAAGAAGAAGATGCAATACACCAGACCCAACAATTCAGAAGAGCTAAAAGCCACTATTAGAGCAACCTGGGCTATCATAACACCTGAGCAGTGCCACAGACTGATCGACTCCATGCCACGCCGCATTGCTGCAGTAATACAGGCCAAAGGAGGCCCAACTAAATACTGAGTGCTGTACATGCTCATACTTTTCATGTTCATACTTTTCAGTTGGCCAACATTTCTATAAATCCTTTGTTTTTATTGGTCTTCAGTAATATTCTAATTTTCTGATATGATGAATTTGAGATTTTCATTTGTTGTCATTTGTAATCATCAAAATTAAACAAAATAAACATCTGAAATATATGAGTTTGTATGTAATGTATGAATATAATATACAAGTTTCACTTTTTAAATGGAATTACTGAAATCAATCTACTTTTTCATGATATTCTAATTTTATGACCAGCACCTGTACTATTGCAGAGAACTTTAAAATGGATCCTAAAATGCTCTGGAAACCAATGAAGCAACATTAAAATACAGGTGACATGATCATCATGACTTTCCTGTTCCCCTCAGGAGCTGTCCTGCAGCATTTTTAACAAACGCAAGGGGACTCATAGATGTGTCACTGACTGATCCCCAAACATAATGGTTTGCAGTAATCAATCTGAATTAGATAAATGATCATAAATATTTGCAGAAAAAGAAAGTTTCTGTTTTGATTCATCTTTCAAAACACCAGATTCACAAATCCTTTTTTAGAACATTTATGTAGTGGCTAATTAAATGGAGCTGGCTTTTCTTCAGATTATTATTGGTTGGTAGTAGAGTTTGTGGCCAAAGGTTTTGATAATAACACAAATATGATATTTTCACAGGGTCTGGTGCTACAGGGCTTTTAGATGTTTTTGTTGGATATTTCTATGGTATACTGAAATATAATTACAAGCATTTAATAAATATCAAAGCTGTTAATGACAGTTACACTTCCTTCATGCAAGAAGTCAGTATTTGCAGTGTTGAGCCTTCTTTCATAGGACCTCTGTAATTCCACCTGGCCTGCTGTCAATCACCTGCTGGAACGAGTCCTGACTGATGGTCGTCTATTCTTGCATAATCAATGCTGAAAGTTTGCCAGAATATTTGTTTTTTTTTGTTTTTTCCACCTGATTGTGACAATTGATCATGAAGTCATTGATAATCAAAAAGATGGCTGACTGAGGCTCATTCTTATTATCTGCTTTAAACTTTGCTGTTTTTCTGCAAAGCAATGATGACCGAATGCGTTTCCCTGAAGGTAGCCGTGGTAACAGAAGAGGATCAATGTTATCAAGCACAGTCCTCCTTTTAAAGGGTCCAGTGTGTTATTCTGACTGAATAACAGACTGATCCCCAGCCTTGTCCTCATCAACTCCCACACCTGTGTTAATGGAGGAATCACTGAAATGATGCAATCTGGTCCTTCTGTGGCAGGGCTGGATAGCAGTAGTTTGTTGGGATAAAGCTGATGCTGCATGTAGCTTCTCTTTCTGCAATTTCCTATTGGTGTGACCTTTGGTCCATTTAGTCCTAACCTTACAGACTATGCTTACAGCTTTTCTAACTTTTCTTTTATTTGTTGTCTTAGGCAATAACCTCTTTTTTCTAAGCTTTTTTTCTATTAGCAGTTCTCCCACCTTGAGTCGAGGTGGCTCAGACGCTCTTTTAAGCATGCAAGATGTTACAGATGCTCAGTGGTGTCAAAAGTACACACATTTGTTACTTATGTAGAAGTATAGATACTGCAGTTTAATAACACTCTGGTAAAAGTTGAAGTATCAACTTGACCTCTTTACCCAAGTAAAATTGAAAAAGTATGCGCTCCAAAAACTACTTAAAGTATAAAGTAACCTTTAAAAAAACAGTCAGATGCCACTATATGAATTGAAAGCTAAATTTTTTAACTATTTCAAAACTTCGAAATTGGGCCAAGGATGAGGGAGGTCTTGTTGGTCTCCATCTCCCGATACGCTCTCTCCTGTGTCCGACCTTTCAGAAATTTCAACATCTTTTTCTGAATCCGACATTGTAGCATGGCATAGACAATTCATGTTAGCAGTTTGAAGAACACCTGCTTGCTGATGATGATTTCCTTTAACTAACCAATGAGTGTTTGCGTTATATGACTCATCCAATTACACTAGTTTTCACTAAATGTGGATGGCGCCAATGATCTACATTGGATGGCTCACATGACAGGAAATAAATATTTATAAACATTTAACTGAAGCCAAGAGTAACGAGTAATGTTTGTTTTAAAAATGCAAGAAATAGAAAGTACAGATACTTCAAAACGTAATGAGTAGAAGTCAGAAGTAGGAAGAAAAATAAGTAATGGAGTAAAGTATAGATACCTAAAAAGTGTACTTAAGTACAGTAACAAAGTATTTGTACTTTCTTACTTGACACCTCCACAGATGAAGCCCTTAATTTAAGATAACTGCTTAGTAAATGTCTCTTTTTAAATTTTGAACTTGGGTTTCATAAAGTAGGATTAAGGGTTGAATTTGGAAAAAAAATCCTTATATGTTTATCAACCATTTAAAATATTATTTTTTAATTTTGTCTGTTGCAAACACATTTTGAAATTTTACATATATACCTTGCAGAGTTTCTGTTAGACAAAAAACTCTGGACTTTTCCCTGGGCAAAACAGCCAATAGATCTGCTGAAATATTGGCCTAAATTTGTTTTTTTTAATACTCTGTGATTAAGTCTCTACTTCCTTTTGAGTGGTCAGTATGATTAAAAAGTGTTATGTTGAAGTCCTAAAAAGAAAGAAGGGTTCTAATTATTTATAACTGTTGGTTTTTAGAACAAACAAAGCATATCTGCCCAGCAGTCCCATCCAGGATGGCTGCAGCCACAAGTGGCGCCGCACACATCATGACACTGAAATCTGGTAGGGCTAAAGAGATCATGTATAAATGGAGAAAACAGGAAGCCACCTGTGTTATCTAATCCCCTCTGTGATGGCTGCACCTGAAAGCGCTTTACCTCCTAGCATTGTAATGAAAGTATGCAGCTTCTGGTGCTAGAGGGGAAGGAGGGGTGAGATCGCCACATGTATTGTATTTAGCTGGCCCGGCTTTAATGTTAGCAAGCGTGCCACAGCGCCTCTTTATCTCCTCCTGTGCTGTTGCTATTTATCCTGTTGCCATTGCTGACAATAGCACCATTAGTCATCAGCTGCAGAGGGAGGGGAGGTGTTTGGCAGCACCCATTACACACAGTCAACAACTTAACGCTGTTTCTCCTTAATGCATACAGACACATGCAGAGATGAAAGCCAAACCAAAGGTGACAAATAAGAGGAAAACATGCCTCGGTTGGAACCGCATGGAGACAGTTTAGGACGTTCAGTCACCTTTTCACCTGAATAACGAGGGACAGTTTATGGTTTGATATACAATTTATTTCATTTGATAAAGCCATACACTTAGTGTGAGACCAAACATTCTAGAAGAAATGTACATGTTACCTCTGGTCCTCAATAGGGATGCCTTTACGAAACAAATCAAAGTTACTGTCTTAAAATGAAAGCAATCGTTCATTGAATCCATCTCTCCTCTGCAAACAGTGAAAAGATACAGCAGAGGCAAAACTGCTCGTGGCCTTGGAAAACAAAACAAAAAAAAGATAAGAAGCAGAAAGTCAGTTTTATTGTTTAGGCAACATCTTCTCATACATTTCTTATTATTGAAGGGATTTTTTAGCTTATCAACAGCCTTTAGGTCCATTCAGAGTGAAATATTGTCAATTAAGCGCCCACACTGCGCTCTTGTCTGCTTCTACAAACGCTCTGAGCTTTGCACAGAAATCCATGCAAGGAGATTATCGCAGAGATTGTCTCTCAGATGGTTACCTTGCAACCCTTCTACATACAGTAGCTTTAGAAACACTGCAAGTACTAAGATACGTGAGGGGAAAGCCCCCCCTCTGAGCAGCTATGAAGAAAATGTCATTCATCTGTCTGTACAGCACTTTTGGAGAGCAGGAAAACAACAAGGATGGCTTTAAAAATGTCAAACTGACAAGACTTCATAAGCCAGATTGATAAAAGGAATAAAAACAAACACTACTGAATTATTTTCAAAGAAAAATAATAATAATAATAAACTCGTACATGACAAAGTACTAACACATTGTGTTTGAGTATTTTGGTTTAAAAAGGATTTTTTTTTAAGAAACTGACTAAACATGCATTTACTTTGTTTCATAATATACAGCATATGTACAGAGTGGATTGGAGGCTTGTAGTAGACAAGGTTGAGGCTTTTTTTTGTTTTTGATTTTTAATAATCAATGAGCACTGGGTGATAGAAAGAGGGAACCAAGCTGCAAGCGGAATAGTTTAACCCAAAAATTAGATTGCAAAACATCGGATTTTGCTTAAAACTTTCCTATATTTTGTCATGTCACAGCAACTTAATGTCTACTGGAATTATATGCAAAGCCGACGCAAAATAATGCAAGATTTCTGAAAAGAATTAAAATATGTAATATAATATAATATAATATAATATAATATAATATAATATAATATAATATAAAATGATTTAAAACCTGAAATGTCAAAATGTTAAAGGCATTATTTAACCCCTTCTTAGATATTCCTTAATTAAAAAAATCCAACTAAGCGCCTTTAGGAGACCCAGATTAGTGAATCAGTCTGAATCTAATTTAATCTAATGAATGCAGGTAGTGGCAGCATCATGCTGTGGGGAGGAAATTAATGCTTTATCTTTTTAAGAAAGATTGCAAATATCTGAATCTCATGATGTGCTGTTAAAGAAAATTGTTCTTCCAACTGCAGACTCAGTGGTGCAGAAGGGTAAATGGACACTGTTGCAGATTTCTATAAACCTGGCTAATAACTGAGTAATGCTGTATTTGATCTAAGAAAAGCAGATGATTCAGAGGCAAATCTGAGTTGCGTTCTATTTGCAGCTATTAAAACCAAGAGCTAAACTTGCTGATTGTTTTTGGTGCTAACTAGTATGAGCAATAAAAAGACGATTGCAACTTTTCCCCTCCATTTTACAAGAGATTTTCAAGGAAATGTTCACATTTAGATCCTATATAGCACTGTGTGTGATTGATTTGATAAGATTTAAGCAGCTAAATAGCTAACACTGGAAATTTCTTTACAGTCCCTGCATGTAACTATGTTCTCAAGCATTGGCTCAATCTGAAGACCTCAAATCGGTACTGACACTTAAACCTTGGTGAAAGTGCTCCTGCAGTCACCATAATAGCAGCTTTCTGAATAGTGCTGCCTGTTAGAAAGAAGCCAGGAGATCCTGATGTTCCTAGCCACTGCCTAGAAGCTGTGCGCTTGCCAACAAACCTTTGGCATTATGGTAAGACCCATAAAAACATTATTTTTTTTACATGTACTCTGTGTGACACATGTATGTCCTCACCTTCATATTTTTGGGGTTTTGTAATGGATAGCTTCAGTCATTCCCAAAAAATGTTGTTACATTTGTTTTTTGTAGTGCTTATATTACATATCATATTATATATTTTTTGTAGTTAGGTTATGGTGCCAATTTGACCGGCCCCTTTCATGTGCGTGTCCATCATATAATGTTGGCTCTAATGCCACGTTCACACCTAAAGCAGCAGAGGCAGCTAGTTTACATGCATGCAAAAGGTCCCGCAGCGCTTTGAAGCAGCAGGAGCAGTGCGTCGTGAGCTTCTGAGCATCTGACGCGCGCGATGCGCTTCAGAAGCAGCAGCTGCTTGAGTTGGAAAAGTTAAACTTTTACTGCTCGACGCTCCATATCAACCAATCAGGAGAGCTGATTTGGAGCTGGAAGGGAGACGGACACAGTGCTGCAGATGCAGATTGCTGTGATCACTCACCTGAAAACTGTTTATTAACGCTTACATTTACTTAAAATGTAGAACCCTGCAGGTAAAATATGTTTGATTTTATTATTCTGGTGCCTGCAATTTAGATTACGTATGTGAAAAACGCCTTCTAACCGTTGTGAACACTAGCAAAGAGGCAAGCGGGCCAGAGGCTGCTGTTGAACTGGGTTCCTAGTAACAGAGCTCCACCGGTATGTGGGTCTGAGCGGCTCCAGCAGAAACAATATTTGAAGGCAGGATTGTAATCTTGATTAACTAACTGCACAGATAAAGTTTTCAGGTGGACTTTCTCACTTAAAAACATTAAAAGTAACTTTTACCCACTGATTACAGCAAATATAGCTGCCATCGTAACAAGGAAAAGAAAGCATAGGGTAGCTACGCCCAACGCGCATCAGACCCACTTTCCACTGCGAAGCTGAAGCAGCAAAGATGCTTTAGCCATTAGAACTAAACTTGTACAAGCATCAAAAATGAAGCAGCACGGGTGTTTTTGCTGCTCTTGCTGCATGCAGTCTGAAAGTAGCATAAGGCTGAGGGCTGTTGGATTCAGCACAGCAGTCTGGGGCTCCTGCCCAGGACAGCTTTATTATTATTGACCCCATGAAAGGTAAAGGAGTAGGAGCTACAAATTGAAGTATTGGGATCGAGCCACAGTTTCTTGCCAATTCCTGACCAGTCAGTCAGAATTTGGATTTAAGAAGAGCTTTGTTGTTTTCTGACTGGAAACTTAGAAAATCGGATATTCAACTGCAATGAAAACGGACTATAGAGTAAATATACCCTTAAATTGCCTTTATAGCAGTCCGTCAGAAGGAGAAACCTTGTGTCACAAGTAAAGCCCACAGATTTTATGTGGTTTAACTGTAGAAACAATCAAAGCTGCATTGGTAGTAATCATTCTGGTAATGACGCACTGCACTGAATCTAAATCATTAATTTTGAACTGGTAGTAGCTTTATTTATCCAGCAGGAATCTCTTTGCCTCTTTCCGTGACAACACACTTATCGTTTAGGTTTCCCAATGTTAAACAAAATTAAAACTATAACCACTTCTCTGTCCTGGTCTGGTTAAAAATCCCAAACAAAAGTTTGTGTTTAAGATGTAAATATATATAGATATCAATAGGTATAATTACTTTTTGGAGGTCAATAATCTTAGCCGCCATATTCCATCTTGTGTTTAATAAGTGTCTGTTTTGATCCCTTTCTAACTAGTTACCCCAGCAAGGAGTAGTTTAATTAAATAAACTGCGATTGGACATGCAGAGATGAAGAAAAGTCCTTTTTCCTAACTCTAAAGAACTGCTGGCTTGTGATGTCCTTTGTTTTTATTGAAATCCCCCAGTTTCTCTGAGTTATTCACTCAGAGCAAAATAAAAAGACAGAATCTGCCCTTGATCAGACAGGCGGGTGTTTGGGGACCTTGATGAATTCCTGCTGAAGAAAGCACATTTTTCTCCGCTGGGAACAAACACTAGGGAAAAATAACTTGTCCATATTTGGGTGTATACAGCTTTTACATCATGTTAATATCCATGAACACACACAGTAAAACAAAGGCGCAAGAGCTGAAGGTATAAAGCCAGACTAGAAAGGAATGGACAGTTTTTGGTTGATTCTGTAAATACCTGTACTTCAGCTGTTTCTATAGAAATGCAACAAAACCCAGTAAAATCCTCCTCTATCCTGCTTGTCTCTGCGTATGGAGTGACAGTAAGGCAGTGGAGGGTGTATGAACATGAAGAACTCTCATTTACAGTATCTGGAGTACAAGCAACATATTTACTAGTAGATATGCAGACTAAAGTCTTTTAATATCATATTTTTTAATAGTTTATCTATTTGTGGATGCTTAGATCAGAAACAGGAAATCTGCCTAGATCTACACACCAGCCCTCACCCACCCCTCATTAAATGTTAAGAAGCCAGGCTTAACAGGCAGTTAACAGACGGACCAGTCCAAGCCAGACTACTATACAGCATAAAAATTACCACTCTCCCTTCACAGTTCACGCTCCTGTGCTCTTTTTAAGACATTTTTTACATCTCTATGGATTCTGGATTCCTCTGCAGACCTGTACTGTGTGAGAGGGATAGATTTTATGCTGTGATTAGACATTTTTTATACCGTTTTTTTTAATCTTTTAATTTAGGTGCAGCAACCTTTTAGAGTGCACAGCTTGGCTCATTGGAGCAGTCACTGTGGCTGTGGTTACTGTCCACGTCCCTCTTCCTCAGCTCCCTGCCTGCCTTGTGCTGCTGACCGCCGCCCCCGCCGTGGCTGTGCCCGGGGTGTGCGGCAGACTGAGGCCGCTTGCCGTGCTCCTGGTGGTGCCCGTGGTTCTGGTGATGGCTGTGCTCCCTGGCTCCGCCATGCAACTCTCTGTCAACAACCAATGCTCCCCTCTTGGTGTCGTCCATGGCCTCAAAGTTGCCGTTGTGTTCGGAGTTGACAACGTCGCTTTCTGGCACCACCTGCAGGTAGGCTCTGACCCGGTGGTGACGGGCGCCACCTTCGTCACTGAAGTCGATCACGCGGCATTCGTAGGTCCCTTCATCGGACGTTTTGACCCTGGAGAGGCGGAGTTTGTGGGAGATGTTGCTGCCAACGACCTTCACAACCTGGACAGTTTCAAAGAAAAGAAAAAGACCTTCATGAGAATTTAGACTCAAACTAAACTAAACTATAAAGCATGATTTCATGCATAAAAATCCACCTTTTTCCTTTAGCTTGCAATTCTTTAATCTGCTCTTTTTTAATAGTAAAACCCGAACTATGTTAGAAATAGAAGAATCTTTAAAACAGATGTTGGGATTCATGAATGTTTTATCAAACTTTTGAAAATTTAATGAAGAACCAAAAGGGTTTTTGTTTGCCTATACTTTAACCTAGCAGAGCTGCAAAGTTTCCTGTTTTGGTCATGAAACTACCATATTATAGCCCTCTTTCCCGCCTTCCTACCAGTTAGCAGTCTGCTGTAAATTATTGTAGAATTAAATTAAAAAAACATTCATCTGCCTCCTAAAACCAAACTGTCTCGGGCACGGAAGTCAAAACCAGATTACCGAATTATTGTACAAATAGTTGACCATTGGTTATTTTTTAGATTTCTTGGGCATTTATCTTAAAATGTAATAGCTCCTGGAGCTCTTGGATAGCCAGGCAGCAGATTTCACAAAATTTCCCTAATTTTCAAATCCAAAACTTGATAAGAGTGTAACCTAGTCCATGTTAGAGGTTTCTAAGTACTATAGCTTTTGAGCAGGACCATCTAAAATATAGTCCAAATGCAAAAAAAAACAAAACAAATTTTTGCCCATTTATGAGCTTTCACAAATCAGGTAAACTGTTTTTTTTTTAAAAACCCATCTGTCTCGTGAAATATTCTAATATTAGTGTAGAATAATCTAGTCCAGGTTTGAGCTGTCTAAGTATTATAGTTTTCTAGCAGAAACAGCTCTAAGATGCTCTAAATGCATAGAAAACCCATGAAATCGTCCTTTATCAAACATTTCACCAATTTTAAACTGTGTTTTAAAGATTCTGATGATGGTAGTGTAGAATAATTTAGTCCCAGATTGAACTGTTTTCAGTGCTATTGGTTTTGTAAAAGCCGTTTAAAGGTGCAAAAGCAGAAGAAAAAGGAGGTGGAATGTCCCTTTAGCCATTTTCCGAATTGGAAGTTAAAATCGGAGGCCGACTTCCGTGTTCAGCCCTCTGATTTTTTACTCTTTAGAACCACCTGAACTTTCAGAGCTGGATGATATAAATCTTCACCAGTCACCAGGTTTAAAATCTCACTTCAGATGCAATTGAGTTAAGGTAAGAAATCTTTTGCAAGTTTCCCCTTTGGGATTATTTTATTATCCAGCTCCATAGATGGCAAAAGTACTCACTTTCTGTACTTGAGTAAAAGTACAGATACTTGTGTTAAAAAATACTCTGGTAAAAGTGGAAGTACTGATTAAACTTCTTTACTCAAGTAAAAGTAACAAAGTACAGGCTTGTAAATTTACTTCAAGTATAAAAGTAAAAGTAGAAACCAATTTTTTCATGCCGTTGCCTACATTTTAAATGGATGTCTGCCAATAGGACTAGATCTCCATTGTGTTCATTTTCAATCATCTCGTCGTCCATACTACTATGCTAACGCCACCGCCACCAAGCTGCAGTGATTTGCCGCGAATGAATACCGCCGAATCTGTCGATTCATCTTGTAGTGGTGCGTCAAATGCAACGTAGATTCCCATCCAATTAGATTGAATTTGGTATTGATGACGTGAAAAATAATAACGGTAACTCCATTGAAATGATTCAAAACTAAAGTAACGAGCCAATTTTTTTAAATGTAAGGAGTAGAAAGTACAGATATTTGTGTAAAAATGTAAGGAGTAGAAGTAAAAAGTCGCCATAAAAATAAGTAGTAAAGTAAAGTAAAAATATCAGAAAAATCTACTTGAGTACAGTAACGAAGTATTTGTACTTCGTTACTTCCCATCTCTGTCCAGCTCCATTTATTTATTCATCTTTTTCGGGAATGAGACGGCAACTCAGGATGCAGGTCATGCTATAATTAGTGGTTTGCCATTTTGAGCCCCTGCTCTGTGATCTGGCCTTTAGGTAAGATACTCCACCCACCTATCCTGCTGTTTCAGTATAAACATTTGTGCTTTAAAAACACACTAATTTAAAGTTAAATTTATTTTTAAACAGTTTAATATTTAACATAGTTTACCCCTCTGCCTTTATAGAATAGCTCTTTTTAAGGAACACATTTAGAATAAAATACACATGGATGGACTCTGAAACAGGCAACATTTGGGACAATTGGTAGCACTACATTTATTTAGGTGTTCACCAAGCACAGGGTGATACATTCAACACAAACTAAAAATATAAAAACTGCTGTCTTAATCTGGACAAATATCTTTACATTATTGATTTGTTTTCTCCCAGATGCTATCCTATCATACCACAACTTCTTTCCTTTATTACAAAGAAACTAACTTCATAGAATATTTTTATATAACAGAAGATAAAGATGAAAGAAGCTAAAAGAAGAAGATAAAAACTAATGGGTTTGCTGCGGAAATCATCCCCGTGAAGCAAAAGCACTCAACAGCTTCGCTTCTCTCCAAGTTCATCACTCCCACTCCCACAGAGCGAGGAAATGATGCTGCTGAACTAAAATTACTTAAAACTGTGAAAGTATGGAGAAACTACTTTAAGGAGGTGAAAGTTTGGGGAGTTCACAAAGCGACACTCTGGAGAAGATGAGACTGAGGACATCACGAGATCAGACCCACCAGGGTATAAGAACAACTTCCATTTATCAGAAGCCGCTGCTCATATGACGCCTGTAGGGGTGTGTAAGTCTGCCCTGCATGTATGAGACTGAATACTTAATGCTGACTATTTTGGAGAATATGTCTTTACATCTAAGGCTCTGATACATTTTATGTTTGAGTCAGAGGATACAAGCCAGCTTCTTTTATACATCAAGCGAGAACTCATAATGATTTTAAAGCAGCACAGCCTGCAGTGTTTGACTCCGCCTACACAACACAGCCATAAATGCACTCAGTCGCTCAAGCTGTGGCTGACGTTTTCATTACTGCGACTCAGCAGCGGTTACACTTACAGGAGATGCATGCCTCTGAAAAATGGGAATAAAAAAGGAGCTTTGATTTGGAATGAATAATTCTAAAAATTAGCATTTTCTTTATGAAATAAAACAAAATTATGAATAATATTAAAATGCAATGTGCATTAGTTCATTCAGTACAATGGAGTATTAGGGCCAGGCTAGAGATTTTGTAATTTTCTATTTTGAAAAAAAGTTGAGAATGAAGTCATCATACATCAACCTGTTTCAGAAAGAAAGCTTCGAGCTCCAATCAGCTCCACCAAACATTCTGCCCAATTTGACGCTTGTGTGCTAAAAGATTTCCTTATTTGTCAAACCAGAGCCAAAGTATAACTGCACATGATGCTTGACGTTCCTCATTTTAGGGAAGAAAGTGTTCCTTTTAAGAGTTGTCATAAAATATAACTTTATTCTCATAATTTTACGACTTTATACTCGTAATTTTTTTACTTTATTCTCATAATGTTATGACTTTAATCTCGTAATATTATGACTTTATTCTTGTAATGATATGACTTTATTGTCGTAATGTTATGGCTATTCTCGTTGTGACTTTATGCTCAAAATTTTATGACTTTATACTCTTAATGTTACGACTTTATGCTCGAAATAGAACAAAAATAATTTCTAACCTGGGCCTAATACTCTTTCGTAATTCAGCTACTTTCTACTCCAGGTAAAGTTAAACTCTTGCCAGGTTTTATTTATGTACCGAGGCTCTTTGGATAAAGAAGATCCTCCAAATCTTTTCCCTCCTCTATTGCCTCTCTTTGTCAGTGTTTGTCATTGGGTGTTTCATTGTACCCATAAAGATAAGAAGGGCTGTATGTGTGAATGTGTGTCCGCGTTGTTATTTTCTTTATTTATTATTATTTTTATTTTTATTTTTTTCTGTGGTACGAGTGGGGGCACTAGGGAGGGAAGGCATGATTGAGATGGTGTGTTTTTTTATTTTTTTTTTATTTTATTTTTATTTATTTATTTATTTATTTTTTTTCTCCCAGGTTGGGGTCTCAACCGCACCCTCTCCCAAATACATCTCAAGTCTCCGCTAAGTGCGGAGCCCATTCCCCCCGTCCTGCTCTCCCTCCGCTGGCTGGCGTCGGGGCTCACCGGTGCACTGGTGGAGCTCGGGGTCTGGGGGTGGATGCCCGGGGGACTGCTGGCTCATTCCTGGCAGCCTCTCCGCTGGCCCGGCCGGCCGGGGCTTTGCTGGGGCTCCTGTCTGGGGATTGGGTGCCCTTGGGGCCTCGGATCCCTGGGGCCTGGGACTGGATCCGCTTCGGGGTGGGGCTGGCTGTTGTTCGGGGATTTTCGGGGTCGGTGCCGGTGCCTTCGCTACGATGCCGGTTCCTGGGCGGTGTTTCTTTCCTATGCCGGTTCTGTGGTATCGGTTCGGGGGGGGGGAGCTGCACGGCATGGTGGGGTGCGGGTCTTGGGTCCGGTTTTGGGCTCCGGTTTTTCCGCTCGCACTTCTCCTCTTGCATATTTATTTTAATTGTAATTATTTATTTATTAATTAATTAATTAATTTACCTATTTATTTATTTTGTATTTATTTATTTATGTCTGTTTTCTCGGGGGGCGGGCGGGCCTGCTGGGTGTGGGTCCTGCTGGCGGCGCGCCGCTGGTGTGTGGGGGTCCGGGCGGCTCCGGCGGGGGTGGTGTTGGGGGGCCGGTTTGGGCGGGCTGGCTGCGCTGGCTGGGTATTCGGGTGGGTTTTCCCTCTTGGAGGCATGGCGGAGCTGCTCTGTTCCCGCTGATCGCGGCGGATGGGGCTGCGGGGCGGTTGGGGGCTTTGAGTGGCTATGGCCGGCGCGTGTTGGGGGGCCGGGGCGGCGGAGCTGCTCTGGCCGCGTGTCAGGGCCTGGTGCGGGCGGCGGGGGGGGGGGGGCGGCGGACATGGCTGTGCTGCTTTGGCTTCGTCCGGTGGGGGAGCGGCGTGGTTCGCTCCGCTCTGGCTTTGTGCTGCCCCTCGGGCTGCTGGGGGGGGGGGTGGTTGCGCCGGCTGCGGTCTGCTCTTCTTGCGGTTTTGCGCCGGGTGGCTTTTCTGCTCTCGGGCTGAATCTGTGCGCGGTGTGTTTCGTTGCGCGCTGTTGGCATCGGTCTTGGTGGGGTGGGGCTGCGCTTTTGGCCGGGGGGGCGTTTTGGGGGGTCCCGTGGCGCTCGCGGCCGGTTCGCGGCGGATACACGTGGGCCTCGGCCGCGGGCTGGGCCGCCTGAGTGTTTTTCCTGGGTGGTGCGGTCGCGGTGGGTGTTGCGGCCGGTCGCCGGGGCTTGGTGCCGGGGGGCGGGGCGTGTTTCGGTGCTCTGTGGGGCTGGGGCGTTTCGGTCGGCGCCGTGGGGGGGCTGGTGTTCGGTGCCCGGCCCTACTTCGGGGTGGACTCGTCCCCGCGGCTCCCCGGGGCGCCGGCATGGCGGTGGCTGGGGGGCTTCTTCGTGGCTGTCTCTCCTCCTCCCTCGGTGGGAGTCTGATTTCCGGGGCTGGCCCCGCCTTGGTGCCTTCGCTTCTGGGGTCCCTTTGGGCGCCTGGGGCTTTGGGTCTCCCGGCGCTGGACTCAGTGCTCTGGGGGGTGCGCCTCTCCGGCTCTCCACAACCACTATTGAGCATTTTTTCTATGGTTAAAACTTTACATGCACAAGTTCACCCTCACAAACAACTACAGGTGCTAGGCTTCAGGTACTTAGAGATTCACTTCCAAACAGAAACCCCACATTCATATCTTCAGGTAACACAGAGTACATGTCAGACATAATAATATTACTTTAGCGATAGTTTAAAGGTGTTGCTTTATTGTATATCTCGTACCGTGTCTTTTGGTTGTGCTGTTCTTTTTTTTCATCTCATTGCAGGTGATGAAGCAGACTGAAAATGTTTTGTCATTGCCTCCTTCCTATCTCCTCTTTCTTTCATCTTTTGTCCTTTTTTTTCTTTTTCTTTTTCCTTCTTCTTCTTCTGTTTTTCTGCTCTACTTACATTGCAGTGTCCATATGAACTGTAAAACTCCCTGCATAATTATAATAAAGCAATTTATATACATGAAACAAGTGTAGCGGTATGGCAATTGCCATACCGCTACACTTGTGAAAGTAAAATCTGTGGGGCTCCTTTTGGCATTAAGACAATTATTCTTATTGCCACCTTGCCAGACAGGACACTGTAAAAAAAAAAAAAAAAAAAAGATAAGAAGGGCTTTTGTTTTTTTGTTTTTTTCTGGAGAGGATGCAAGCCTCACCCGCTTGAGGAGGACAGTTAACCACCTACGTGCAGCAGCGATGCCAGCTCTCCGGCTGTTACAGTACTACAAACCAATCAAGGATGAGACGAGTGTTAATGTGGATCTTCCAAAGCAAAAACTGTTAGAACCGTTTCCTGCTGCATCTCCTTTTAACCCATATAGATATCTCATGTAATACGAAGACGAAAATAACGACCTTCCAGGTATAAACCATCAAATGGAGCGCTAACTCACACTTATCTTTGTAGCATCCTTTGGCGTTTCCTCCACAGGAGCCACCTTTAAAAAATAGGAAACACAGAAGCAAGTAAGAAATCATTTAGACCGAATACTTACATTTTACAGTTTAACTGTGATTACAAAACATATTTCAATATTATAAACTGGAAGACAAGACTAATAGTTCTGTATATATCACATGGATGTTCTGAGAGATGCAGGAATCAGAATTCTGTGATTGATTTATAGTTTTTGTAAATCTTTAATGATTTTTTTTTTGCACACTCAGGACATTAATCTGGGCTAGAATAACCTTTTTTCTAGCAGACTGTTCTAGACAGGGACCGACAGGGGCCCGTACCACAGCAGATCAGTTCCTTTTGTTATGGCCCCTGTGCTGTAAAACAAACATTGAAAAAATTAAAATATAAGTCAATTGAAATGACTATATTATGCCCTTGATTTGAGGAGGCGAGTTAGACAATTTGCCAATTTTAAATGATTAAGTGTTAAATAATAAACAAAAACTCTTATTAACTTATTTCATATAAGTTAATTAAGTTCTAACAATTAATTATTTTATTTTTAACAGTACAAATACTCCTTGTTTTGGTAGATCATATAATTTACCTGCTCAAATTGTTTGTTTTGTTCTGTGATCCCATGTAAAAAGAAAAAAAAATTGTCCCATCCTGTCCCCCTTGTAAATCACATCTAAAGCCACCATTGGATATTCTACCATCCACTGAACTAAGGAACAGGATGTTTTAGTCCAGTTCCTGCAAAAATACCTCGTTAGTTGTCCAGGGTTGGCGGTCCGTTCCATCCAAATGGTTCCTGATGTACCACCACTGAATCTCCAGAGAATAGGATGGTGTCCCTGCTCCTCTGAAGGAACAGGCCATCTCCACATCCTGACCTCTCTGGGCAGTCATATCATGGGGAACCTCAGTAAACATGGCTGAAAAGACAAAGAATAGACACGTTTTATGAATAGCAATAGATTTTAGTTTTTTTAGGGAGTTTGTTATTGTTGGCTTTTATGTAAATTTGAAAATTAAAAGGTTTGGTAGATTTGCTTCTACAGCCATTGAACTGGATCAGTTAAACTAAGACAAAATGACTTTTGTAATTAATCAGTACATCTTGCACCCGGTTTAATCAGGTTATTGTTGTTGCAGGAAAAGTTGCTTCTTTTTATTTCACAAAAAAACAATAAGTCGTTAATGCAATCCAAATAAATCTGACTCTACTTTAAAAGTGGAAGACTTTATGCTGCAATAGGTACGTTTAGAAATGTATTACGTTTTACATTATAAACATGACACTAACAGCTCTGGTCAACTCCAGTTATAACATCTAAATATGGTAAAACATCTCGGCTTTGTTGGAGAGATTGTGGAAAGGTGGGGGATTTTACTCACATATTTGGGATTGCCCGAGGGTGGCAGAGTTTTGGAAAAATGTGCAAACAGAGATAAAGGGTATTTTAGGCGTTCACTTAGATCTGGAGGTATCTGTATATATTTTAGGAATAATCCCCTTGGACATGATTGATAAAGACATTAAATATTTGATCATAGTTCTGCTTCTGACTCCGAAGAAGTGCATAATACATGCCTGGTTAAAACCACAACCTCCCAGCATTACACAGTGGTGAGAATTAGAAAAGTCTATATTATGGAAAAAAATACAACATCAAGACTACAACTCAAGATGGAGGCCTTTGAAACAAAGTGGAGAACTATGACTAAATGTATGCTGTAACCTTGATACCTCTATTTATTTATTTAGTTAATTACCTATTTATTTATTTATTTGGTTTTGTGCCTTTTGAATTTATCTTGTATTAGTATTACAGTGTACTTTTATTACTTCAATCTGTATGTTCATAATGTCTACAGTTGTCCCTTTTATTGCAAGTATTGTGATTTATATATCGATGGAAGGGGTTGATAAATATAGGTTCATCTTGATGGGACCAATGTTGGATTAAAGGGAATCTCTGTTTTACTGAACCCCTTATCAATAATCCCTGAATAACTTGTGGCAGAGCTGGGGCTTAAAGGGATAGTTCGGTATTTTTGACATGAATCTGTATGGCATCCCGATCACCAGCGGCATGCAATCACACTGACTTACCCCTGGCAGCGTCCTGTGAGCAGAGTTATCGTCCAGTTTTGGTCAAGCCGAAAGTAGTCCTGCAGGTTTTTAGGAACAGCGAAATAAAACTTTTCTCTTCCCAAAACATTATGTGTCCAAAAGAGTGATATTTTCGCATCCCAAAAACATTGTAGTGGAAAAAGTCACACGTCGTTATCAATTGGTCCTATTTTCTCTCTGTTCGTATCAGTGCGCGCCGTCATTCAGACAGCGAGCCCAACAACAGCCATGTCTCCCTCCGCCGCGGAAGGAGACATGGCTGTTGTTGGGCTCGCTGTCTGAATGACGGCGCGCACTGATACGAACAGAGAGAAAATAGGACCAATTGATAACGACGTGTGACTTTTTCCACTACAATGTTTTTGGGATGCGAAAATATCACTCTTTTGGACACATAATGTTTTGGGAAGAGAAACGTTTTATTTCGCTGTACCTAAAAACCTGCAGGACTACTTTCGGCTTGACCAAAACTGGACGATAACTCTGCTCACAGGACGCTGCCAGGGGTAAGTCAGTGTGATTGCATGCCGCTGGTGATCGGGATGCCATACAGATTCATGTCAAAAATACCGAACTATCCCTTTAACAGACTGGTTTCTTGATGTAGGTGAAATGTCTAGAGTTATCTGCGTAAAAGACATCTAAATGCGAAACATGATACATGACAAGAGTGGACCTGTGTATACGTAGATGTAAAAGAGATATAAAGTTTATTAAAAAAACATGACAGTAAGTCCATCAATTCATTTAGTGTATATAAGGATATTTCATAAAGCAATATAACACAATTCTTACACTTACCAAATACTTTAATCTAAATATTTGTATCTGTTTTTTAGCATCATAAAACAACACAGTGAAATGTTAAAATTTGAGAATTAATTCTATTTCAAAGAGCATCACCAGGATTTTCAGGTTTTCAAAGTAAATGGAGAATTACAAAACAAAAAAAGAAAAGAAAAGGTTGATGCATATGATACAAATATGCATATCAGTATTTTAATTAATCTCCTTGGTGTAATATATTCTAGTCTTTCTTCACTTGAGACTAGAAAGTCATTATTTATATCCAGCCATTAAGCCTGAACCCTATTTAGAGTACAGTTTTTTAATTGGTACCTATTAGTGTGTAAGAGTGCACTAACTATCGGGGCCAATTCTGCAAAACATAATAAACCTCATAAAAAAAAAAAAAAAAACATTAATTATGATTAACCAGACCATATACTAATAAGACTTCTATATAACTTACTGGTGCATTTATGATTATTTGTTAAAAGAATGATTAGAAATAACAAAAAATAATTACTTAATACCTTAGTTGCAGACTGTGCGAGAGGCTGAATCATACTAAAATCATGAGACTCTCATCATTAATACAGTTATGGGGCCCTTAATGCACCAACATTGTTCTGAACATTATTTTCAAATATTTTGCAGATAACAAAGCTGAGAAGTTAAGCAAACCAGACAAAAATAGGGAGAAAAAAAAAAAATAATAATATAAAAGTAAATGTATATAAGTAAGATCATTTTATCATTTACCTTTAAATTAGGTTGGAATAAATGTGAATATAAAGCCGCTAGGAGAGATATGTTAACTACCATATGTCACAAAAATATTAGAAAGTAAAATGGAAAATGATTTGAGTGAAGGTTGGCAGGCTACCCTTTCAGACTTGAAAGGTTTCGCACAGTGGAGAAAGGGCAGGCTGCAATCAGCGCTGAGTCCAGCATCAAATGTCAGCTCACTCAAAGTGGTTGAGGCTCACTCCACATCTGATGGCAGCGAGGTAACCATAGCACTCTGCTCCAAAATGTTAATTGTTCTTCTACTCTAAGCTCTAAGAACTTGTGTGAAGCAAGTTTTATAATAAAAGGTTATCAACTGTCCTATACGGATGCTTTAAAAGGAACAAAAGGTAGAAGCATCTTTTGAAGCCCAAAGGCCAACTTCTTTATTTCATATAATGGTCCAAACTAGACTTCTTTTAACATTTACTTTGAACTGCCTTTGACTCTGCATCATAACGTTTTAGTTTAGTGCATGGGGGCATATGATCTGCTTTGCAGAGCTGACATTCATAAATATGTTATTTATTATCATCCACGAACTACAAGTCTAAATCTTTATGTTTTTGTTCCCTTAGAAATTGTTACCTATAATTACATAAGAGCAGGTCTCTATAGAGGCAGACATCTTTGTGCAACGGCAGCCCAAAGCTAAAAAACTAGTGACTGTAGAGCAGAGCATGTGAATAGAGCGGAGCGCCGTGCAATCGCCGCTCTCCGCTCAGGGGGTTTGCTAATTCACTCCGCTGCTAAAAATTGCGCCAGGACTCTCCGCTCAAAATCCGCTCTGCGCTCTCCAGCGAAATCGCTCCACTCTCGCTCAAAATTTCAGTAGAAAGCAGTTTCTGACATTTTTCTTCATGTAATCATGCCAGGGCCCTGGGACACACGGCGTTTGATTTAATGATGTGACCGATACACGTGCAGTGCCTTATTTTACTGGCTGTTAAATTATCGCACTGTTTCCCAGCTATGAACGTAACACCTCGCTCCATTCATGTTGCCCCGCGTTTCCTATTTAATTATTTATCAATTTCACAAGACGACATTAAAAGAGGTCACTTCGCATCCCATTACAAATGAGATAATAGCGTATAATGCATGTATGCTATCCGTTTTCAAGAACAGGCTCTTACCACAACGATCACTTTATGTGAAGCCACTCTGTATTGTTAACTATAGTTCAATCTGAAAAACTCACACTGAGAGAAAAGACAATTAAAAGAAATTCATTGACACAATTACTTTGTCCTTGGTGCTCAGACCTCGGCAGGAAACATAGCACTGCATTTGGATAGATATGTATGAACAGGAGTATAAGAATAGGGCTGTTTCACCTCAGGCCTGAAACTGGTGGTGGAGTGGAGATAGATGAAGTTGGTCAGTCTGTAGACTGCTGGTTAGCAAGACAGTATGCTGAGCTTTATGGGGAGATCCAGTGGATTGTGTGAGCTGATACTAGAGCTTCACTCAGGAGCCTGGAAGATGAAAGTCCAGATTGGATAACACGGGTTGATAGAACCTGTCCATGATGAGCAAGCATGAAGGGACAGTGGAGAGGAAAAACTCCCTGTCGGGAAGAAACCTCTGGCAGAACCAGGCTCAACATGGCGGTCTTCTGCCAAACTGGTTGAGATTAGAAACTGAATGCAGTAAGAGACCAGGTGTAATGACGTTTTAGCTACGAAGGTGAAGCTGGGGCTGGACGTAGGTTGAAACGGGGTCATCTGAATGGAGTCACACAGCGCAACCACCACCTGCACACTAGGAGCAGACAAGTGCGGATCGGAGGCCTTTTAAGATGAACTTCGGATGCCGATTGGCTTTCGTGGAGGCGTGGTTCAAAGCTGATTGGGTGGAGTCACAGGTGGATGTAGGAAAGCAATGAGTTTCTTCAGTTGAACTTCTGCCTAGGCTCCATTTAGTGTATGTTTTTTATGATACTTTGTCCCACTTGTTTTACAATTAAAAACATGTTGAAAAAAATCTTATTAAAATCAAATAAATGTTATTTTAAAAATTTTATAATCCAAGATTTTTAACTGACGTGTGGCCTCGGAGCGAACTGGAAAGGAGTGAAATCCTCGCTCCGGCCTTTGAAGTGAAAACTGCTCTGCTCTCCACCATATTTCTTCCACCGCTCGCTCCACGCTTACTCTGCTCACATGCCCTGCTGTAGAGAGACTAGTGCACGCTCAAATGTGACTGCACCAAGGTAGGCCTATA